GCTGTTCCAACACAAACCAAAGAAATGAACATGTGAGTACCAAAACATTTGCAACTGCAACAATTTTCTGAGAGAAGGGTTGCATTTTCAGACAGAATTGCAAGGGTGCCAATATTTTTGGCCATGACTGTATGTGTGTGTGTTCTCCAGTACACCCAAGAGGATGTACGTGATTCTCCATCTCTTCACTTTATCCTCACAATAACCCCGTACGATAAGTCAGGAAGAGACAGTGTGACTGACACGAGGTTACCCAGGGAGCTTCATGGCCAAGTAGGAATCTGTACCAAGTTCTCCTGAGTCCCTCTGCAACATTCTATTCACTACATCACACTGGCTCTAATTTTAGAGATGTTTTAGAGGAGACTCCAACTCAACTTTCTCTTCAAAGTGATTCTCCTCCAAAGCTGACCGCTGATCAGGGCTGCAGGAAAATGACAAACACCAATTGTATAACCTCTAGTAAAGAACCACAGGAAAGGATTTCACAGAAGCACAAACCGAAGTGATTAAGCTATGACACCAGATACTCCAATAGAGCAACAGCAATGGACCATAGGTAGGGACCCAAATCCAGTGGGAGAGCATGTTTCACATGCACAGGGACCCAGGCTCAATCCTTGGCATTCCCAATTCTTTAACTGCTGATGGGGAAAAATATATTCTGTGCTGAACGCCCTGGAGAGGAACTGCTGCATGTATGAGTAAAAAAAAATACTCAATTAAATGGACAAACAGAATTACCTGGTAAAAGATGCACACTTTTGCACAGCTGGACTGTGATGTGTGGGCACCACCTGGCTCTAACAAAATGTAGGGGGTGAGCTGGTGGGGGGAAGAGAAAGTAAAAAAGTTTCAGTCATCCTGCAGTGGCCAACACTGTTGGAAACATCTGTGTAGTAACTCGATTTAAAAAAAAACAGCTTGCCATGTAGTACAAACTCCACAGACTGGTATTTTAAGAGTTATAACTTATCAGAGTGGATGAAAATCCATAATTTTTTCCAATTAAATTGATTTGATCCATAATTTAAATCACAATTTAAATTCAAAAATTGATTTTTTTTCATTAAAAATCAAAATATTTAATTTAAATCATGTTTTCAATCAAATCCACCAGGTAAAACTTAATACTGTACATCTAAACTAGGCATGGCAAACACATGCAAGCACAATGCCGGAACTATGGGACCTATTCTGGCCCAACAATTTCTTGTATGCTAATGTCAGTTTTTGAAAGGGAACTAAGTGAAATAAGAGAAGTCATCAAGCAAAATTTGAGATGGGACATTAGAAGAGGAAGTAACATATGAACATTGTGGATACAACAGAGAAGCTACAGTAATAGCTCTCAAGCAGCAGTGTATTTCATTAAGGTAAAAGCTGATAAAAGTGGAACACACTGCTACTTGAACTTTATTTTACAAGAGTTCAACAACCATTTTAAAATGTACAAAATAACACACTATTCATCAGTCAGTTGAATGCCAACATGCATTTCATGCTATACGTTCCAGCTTCCAAATATGAAGAATTTTTGTAACAACAAGAAAAGTTCTGGGAACAATAAGTTAAGAAGCTTTCACTAAAACCAAGAAGATTCTGCAGAGTTATGTTCACAAATTTTTGCCTTCTTCTTTCAACATAAAATCACAAGTACACCAGTTTTGTTTTACTAGTTGTCAAATTTCTTTACTAGCTAAATACTTTTAAAAGAAACTCTGCTACTAAATAGCAAAGGAACACTCATAGCTATCAAATACACACAGGCACAAAATATTAAATATATTACTTGCATTTTGCTTTAAAAGGTGAACTTTCAAGACACATTGAAAAGTACTGAAGAGAAAAACTGGGAAGAAACCACTTATAGTAAAGTAATGCTAAGTATTATGCAATAAAGTATGAGCATCATCTCATACAATAACAAAGATTCCATTTATAAGGACAACACTAATTTCTATTTCACGGGCTGTATACATACAGAGTGTGCTTGTACTAAAGAATAACTTAGATCCTTATTCTTCCAAGTAAACTTTTTATACCAAGCCTCCTCATTAAAAGGCATATACTTTCTAACCATAGAAACGAGATTGTGTCAAGCTGAATCTTAATTGCCATAGAAGGAAAAAAAGATCAACTCAGTTTTTGAACAACATAATTTAAAGAAATATGCTTAGTTTTTAGGTTTTAAAAGGCCTATTTTTAGTGCACCAGAAGCTGAAAAAGCATGTGAAACTAGAAAATATGAGTATCACTGTGTAAAAATATATTGCCAGGGTGGAAGGCTAAGATTAGTCAGAGAAACACTGCTGAGTTCGTTTTAATTACTGAAGTTCAAGTTTCATCTTCATTTCAGGTTCAAGCAGAATATTCTCAGATAAATATTCCACTTTGTACTGTACAGTATTTGTTTTTAATTGAATGCCCAAGTACAGATTTCTTGCCTGACAAAGAAGCACATACAACAGCAAGTTACAGACAGTAAGAAGCGATGATTCTTCACTCCTATAAAGCTTAATTCTCTGATGTACCTTAAATGACCTTTTGAAGATTAAGTCTACAATCTTCACACACTTTCTAGGAGTGTCTCACTGAGTTCAGCATTGCTTCTGGATAAACACACTTGAGAATGATTTCTAAGTAACATTTGGAAGCATTCTAAAGCATTTTCTAATTAATCTGAATTTATGAATTCATATGAGAAGCTGTATATCAAAGGGACATTCAACATCTTGAAAGAATTGGAACACTTCAAGTGTTCTGACTGCCAAATTGCTTGTACAATTAGTGCTCTCATATTGCTTGTGTACTGTGATCTAGAGCCTCCCCCCCCATTTCCACTCTGGAATATTAATTTGTGGTCAATCCAGTTAATTCATCTACTCTACCACTATCTAGTACTTTCTATGAAAACTGTCAATAAGCTAGATGCTTTAAAACCCTCACAAAACATTGAGATTTACAGGGGGAAAATCACAGAATTGCAGGGCTAGATTTCTGCTGAACCACAGAATACCTGTCCAAAGGTTAAGAAACCTATGTCCAGATGTTGTTGGGCTATAAACACCACCATAGCTAGGGTCGGGGATGATGCAAGGGTCTGCTGGGATTTGCATCCCAACAATATCTGGAGGGCCACAAACTCCCTACCCCAGATCTGTCCTAGTCAAACTCCAACAGCTGACAGCTATGGAAATGAAATGTGTGATGTGCATCAATCTCTAAAGCCACTCTAAAGCAACTATGAGAAGAATTATCTCAGATATATAGCTGTTTGGTTAATGCAGAAGACAACTTTGGATGTACTAGCTCAGTGGTCCCCAACCTTGGGCCTCCAGATGTTCTTGGACTTTAACTCCCAGAAATCTTGGCCAGCAGAGATGGTGGTGAAGGCTTCTGGGAGTTGTAATTCAAGAACATCTGGAGGCCCAAGGTTGGGGACCACTGTACTAGCTCACCACACAGATTAGCCCTAACCAGGAATATTTGTCACTCTTACTTCATCACCACAAACAACAATAGATTCATAATAAGCTTGTATGCAAAGAAGAGGAGTATAGGCAACTGGTTTAATACTGGAAGCTCTCAATTCAAATGCCACCCTAAGCCCAAACTCACTTTTGACAACAGGAGGCAACGGTACCTATGCACCTTAAAAGACTATTTTAGTAAGTACTGAAACAATGTATGTGTGATATGCACTGCATATTAAAAATATACCACAGAAATGCTAATTTACAGTCCTACTGAGATTACACAGCTAAAGAAAAGCATATCCTATTCTCTGTCACTGGCCAGGGACCAGACCAACTAAGAGTTTACTCTCCCTATCTGCCCAGATAGATTGGTTTAAAACATTTACATCTTACCTTCTAGCCAAAAGGGTTCGCAGAGTGGCTTACAAAAGCAAGTAGTAACAAAGTCCCTGCCCTCAGGCTTAAAGTCTAAATTAAAGATATGTCAGAGACAAGAAGGGAGAAGAAAACAAAGCAAGCTGAGCATACTGGTAGCTGAATGGAAGCAGTTCAGACAGACAGCCAGAAGTACTGCCATTATGTCACAGTTGAGGAAGAGTCAGCGGGAATGGGGTCTTCCTGCTGGAATAGACTAAAGGGCAACACCATCAAGTCCTTTCATGAGGGCATGAACACACTGTAGTTTTTGTAGCTCAACATCAGATCCCTTTGACATCCGAAGTGGAATGAAACAGGGCTGTGTGCTCGCGCCGACCCTTTTTGGGATCTTCTTTGCTGTCATGATGAAGCACGCCTTTGGAACTGCAACATAAGGTGTCTATCTCCGGACTAGATCAGATGGAAAGCTCTTTAATCTCTCTAGATTGAGAGCAGAGACCAAAGTTCAACTGAAATGCATGTGGGACTTCCTCTTCACTGATGATGCAGCCATTGTTGCCCATTCTGCTGAAGATCTCCAACAACTCATGAATCATTTTAGCAAGGCCTGCCAAGACTTTGGGTTAACAACCAGCCTGAAGAAAACACAAGTCATGGGCCAGGGCATGGACTCACCTCCCTCTATTACCATCTCCACACAAGAATTGGAGGTTGTTCATGACTTTATGTACCTTGGCTCAACGATCTGACACACTCTCTAGATGTCGAGCTGGATAAACACATTGGCAAAGCAGCTACCATGTTCTCAAGACTCACAAAGAGAGTATGGCTCAATAAGAAGCTGACAAAATATACCAAGATCCAGGTCTATAGAGCCTGTGTCCTGAGCACACACCTGTACTGCAGTGAGTCCTGGTCCCTTTGTGCACGGCAGGAAAGGAAGCTGAACACATTCCATATGCGTTGTCTCCAACGCATTTTTGGTATCACCTGGCAGGACAAAGTTCCAAATAGAGTAGAAATAGAATGAGCTGGAATTTTTAGCACATACACATTACTGAAACAGCAATGTCCACGTTGGCTCGAGCATACTGTGGGAAAGGCTGATGGCCAGATTCCAAAATATCTCCTGTATGGAGTGAGACCACAGCTGCGATACAAGGATATCTGCAAGCGGGATCTGAAGGCTTTAGGAATGGACTTCAACAGATGGGAAACCCTGACATCTGAGCATTCAACCTGGAGGCAGGCGGTGCATCACGGCCTCCGTCAATTTGAAGAGACCCTTGTCCAGCAGGCCGAGGCAAAGAGGCAGTCCCGAAACCAGCAAAATCAGGGATCTGGACAGGGGACGGATTGTATTTGTCTTCAGTGTGGAATTGATTCTCACTCAGCCACACTAGACGCCGTTCCAAATCCTCCATACAGAGCATGTTACCATAGTCTCTTGAGACTGAAGGATGCCTAATCTAAGACTAAAGAGCTTACCTTAGTGTTCTCTCCCTTTGCTGTGCAGCCCAGTAGAAGGGCTGTCCCTCAGTGACATGGCTGGGGAGCCAACCGTGTTACAAGTGAAGCTTGGTAAAACAGAGAAGGAGAGTTTTGAAGGCGGGCACTTCACCACCACTTCTTACAGTATAAGGAGGAAAGCTGTGCTTCAACTATCAGGAGAAATGTGATCACAGAACTAAAGAAATAGTTGCTCAGGCCCCATCCATCAACTAGAGCAAGAAGGCCTGCTGTGCTATGTGTGCATTCATGTGACATGTGCAGATACATATAAGGGTTTTCCTGCATTACAATCCTTGAACTGCCTTGAAAATAATCCCACTAAAATGCAGGGTATAATCTTTAACATCTATATAAATATATATTTAAGGCAAGCAGATCGGCATATGAACTGCCCATCCTGGAGCAAAGGTAAGATCTGTCATCATCAGGCAATCAACCTGTAAGTATTTATTTATT